CGCAGATCAGCGAGGGATCAGCGAGGGAATGTGTTTTTTGTCATTTCCCTCGCTGATCCCTCGCTGATCTGCGAGGGAAATTTTCCCTCGCTGATAGTCGTCGCTGATACCTGGTTTTCTAGGATGGTGAAATTGGATTTTGGTGGGTGACGTACAGCAATGGCATCCTGATAAGTGGACGAAGAATCCTTCGCTTCTGGGAAAAGCTAAACGTAAATTTCAACAAATTCAAGAAGCCTATTCAGGTAATCATCGATTTGTAACGTTACGCGTACAAACTGTTATAGAAATTGGAAGCTATTGATGTTATTTTCTTATAATTTGGTTTTCTTTCGTCTGATTTGGGGAAATAAAACAGTGTTATCAGATCAAAAAAAGAGATGGATGTACAATATTGGATTGTATGATCCTCAAGATGAAGAAGATGAGGTAAAATCCTCTACTGATGATTGTATTCTGGATGCACTTTGTTCATTCAATCATAGTTTTCATCTGCTAATTACTCGTTAATCATCATGTTTTCCATCAGGGTTTTGCTAATTACTTGTTAATCATCGTGTTTTTCATTAGGGTTTTGCTAATTACTTGTTAATCATCGTGTTTTTCATTAGGGTTTTGCTGATTTCCTGCAAGAAATGTCGTCTTTAATGGAAAACGACAAGAAAGAGGTGAAGAGTTTCCCTTGATTTTAAGAACTCCAAACTTCACTTCCGTTATAGCTGTTATTTGCATTTTCTACATGCATTTACATAGGTCTATAACTGCATTTTGCATTTAGGGGGTGTTTGGGATTGCTTATAAAAACAAATTATTGACGTATTTCGGTGTAACATCGGTAATAAACACTTTTGAGTATCTGGATAAACGGCTTATACCGGTGCCAAACCGGTAATAAGAAGTTTTTAAAGAAGTTAAATCATTCTAACTTATAAAAAATTGATAATGACTTTTGTAGAAAAACATAAGTTGTTTCAAATAAGCAATCCCAAACACCCCCTTAGTCTAATCGTTTGCAAGTTGATTTTATTTGATTCTTAGTTAATTTCAGATCAAGTCATCGACTGAGGATATTATATCGATCTTGAATCTGTGAAGTACTTCTCTATCGATTTACATGCTCAAAGTGTCTGAAATTTGTGTTTGACAGGAAAAAGAATACAGTTTTGGGGAAATACAGACCATGTTTTGGGAAATGGCTCAGAGTTTCAATCATTCGATGGACGAATACAAAGAACCGTCTTGGTGTCAAGATATCTTCACTTCGGATGACGAACCCAGAAGTTCGAAGAAACGTCGAGCCGTTTTGGACCCACTTGCACAATTCTCTGAACCAGATTTCGGTAGGCAAGAGACGAAGTGCATATAGACCACTTTAGAGTTACCATATGAGCTCAAACCCAAGCTTTTATCAATGGTTGGTTATGGCCAATCAACTTTTGAAGATGCTAAACTTGTGCACAGAAACGAAAAGGTCATCAAACGGACGTCCGCAGATATGATGAAAAGATGGGTTTTGTTGTAAAGGTTGTGATGATGTAGAAACTCATCATTTTAGGAAATTTCTTGAATTTGGAATCAACGTTTCGTCGAGTTCTTTTCTTTGCTTCTCAAAATAGAGCACCATTGACGTAGACACATGGGAAAAACGCATGTGGTTGTTACGTCTCGATGTGAACATCCGTTGTCGCGGTTAACCGATTTGATTGGTTCCAATTCTTTTGGAGGTTCTGTTTCAATTTTATTAATATTATATTGGGTAACGAATAAAGTTAAATATAAAAATTCATATTGTATGTTATATTAAAAATTTTACAAATTAAAATAATATAACTGTTTTGAAATTACAAAGCTGTATACAATTTAACGTAAATGAAATCAACCATAAGGGTGGTGCTTGATTGGTTTGAGTTTGGCTTCAAATGTCAAAAGTACCAGGTGGTCTCAGGTTCAAATCCAAGGAGAAATAAAAATCCCCTTGTGGCCATGGAGGTTCAAATGCGGTGACTTCGGACTATCTGCAAAACAGGTGGTCGCCCTGAGATTAGTAGATTTTAGGAAAATAAGATTACAATAAGAGGCTAATAACAAATGTTTTTACCTTTTGTTCATTAAGAGGACAGTTAGAGACAATAAAAGGCCGTTTACCAAACACTTATTATGTAAGCACTTATCGATAAGATTTAACATTATTATTTACTTATTGAGTAAGATTTTAGTCAACAAAAACGGCATCATATCATATGCAACAATTTTATCCGATAAGCACTAATTGTGGTAAGAGTCACCAGCTAAGACTCTCGGTCCTTGCCTCACTCTTAAAATTTTTTGTTATTGCCATATTCATACGGTAATGTAATCTAACTTGATAAGTGCTTACCTGAATAAGAATTTGGTGAACGACCCCTTAAGTCTTTATTGCGGAGAAAAACTACCTCATTAGCTTAACATCTTGTCTGATAAAATATAAGTAGTAAATAAGAGGTTTTTTTTTTAAAAAAATAAAATAAAAAATGACACCTAAAATTAATTTATCAATTTATTGGTCTATATTTTATATAATATTTGCAGTCTATAACATCTTGGGCCAGCAGAAACAAAATATTACAGCCCAACAACAGTCCAAGTTCAATTATTTTATTGATGCTCCCAGTTTTCAAAGTCCAAATCCTTCCTAATTCTTATGCTAATATTCTTAACGGGTCTCAAAAACACAAAAATATCAACTTCCAAATTAATCCCAACTCCCAAGTCTAAGTGACGATGTTGACTCTTCCGCTTACTTCCTTCTTTTGGTTGTTCAAAGAAGTCGTGAGACCTATGCTAAGATTCTATGCGGCTATTTTGGTATAATAAGTCACTACTGGTGTTATTTGGCGTTAATAAGATATAAAATGTCATATTCGACTATAATGGTGGTTTAGTGATTCATATCGGGGTATAATGGTTCCTAGTTGTCTAATTGACCATAAGACACAACACATGCATCTATGCAGTCGATACGTGTACACAAGTACACAATAAGTCACCACTTGTGTTATTTGGTCTTAATAAGTCATAAAATGTCATATTGGGCTATAATGATGGTGTAGTGGTTCATGTCAGGGTATAATGGTTCTTAGTTGTCTAATTGACCCTAATACACAACACATGCATCTATGCAATCGATAAGTGTACACAAGCACACAATAATTCACCACTGGTGTTATTGGGCCAGTCACCAACGATCTAATGAGTTTTACTGGGCTTAAATTGTTCTATTAATTAGACTCTGATGGTTTATGTTGGGCTTATATCAGTTCAATTGGGTTTTAATAGATCTATTGGTTTTATTTGGTTCAATTGAGTCTTAATGAGTTTTGTTCGGCAATAACAGTTCCAAATGGTTTTTATTCGGTTTTATAATATTTTAACGTATTTAATTATTTTTTGGGCTTTAATAGGTAATTATAATAATAATAATTAAAAAACTAGTAAAAATAATAATGGTTATATAATAAAAATAATGATAATAAAAATAACTATTATAAAAAAATACAAGTCTTACCCCGGTAAGATTTTTGACACTTTTCATGTTCATCCGATAAAGAAATTTATCCGGCAAACATTTATCAAGTAAGTGTTTAGTAAACGGCCCCCACACTTATAATCATAAATTACTAAATTAGTCTGAACAAATTAAGCCATTGCATTCCAAATGAAACCACCTATAAAGCACATCATCTCAAGATGTGTTATACAATAAGGGCCAACACCCTTTTCTTTGAAGGCCTAACTTTAGGGTTGTGCCAACCTTATTCACATGCCCTTCACTTACTATACACTTTCCCAATCTTCTTTATACAATTATTATGTTGCTTAATTTATAAATAGTAATATAAAGGTGAAGAATAAGTTATTACGGATTTTTCTTCATTTTTTCTGATATCTTATGAAATTAGTCGGGTACGTAAAAACAAACGTAAAAGGGTATTTTGGTCTTTTTGTTATTGTTACATTCCAATTCTTAATTAAGCTGTGTTTTGTTAGCTAAACAGACAGATTACAGTTTATTTCATAAATTACATTTCATTTCCTGTCAACCTAACAACTGGTCAAACTTGAAAACATTTCTTTTCCGTTCATTTGACGTATTCCATTCAATTAAAAAACATTTTACGAAATAAATGCCCCACTTAGATTAGTCAAAAGTGGAGTTGTTAACATTCTTTTTTTAATTATCTTTTAGTTTCATAAATAATAGTAATATCAAAGTGATAAAATTTATTTTATAAAATTAATAATCCAATTTTTCATATAGGATAAATTGTATGAAAAAACAACGTACTTTAACTTGATTCCTATTTCGGGTAACGTGCTTTTAGAACTTCTATTTTGGTATCTAAGATGTAAAGTTTTAAACATTTGAGTACCCGGGCAACTGGTTGAAACATTAACTGGTTATCATACTGATGTGGCGAGTGATGTGTTATCCAACTTAGTTTTACTTGCTGACGTGGTTAATGCCATGAATTTTTTAAATCTAAATTTTTTTTTTTAATCTAAGATTAGTTTTCAACCTGTTAACCGGATACTTAAATGTTTAAAACTTTACATTTTAGATACCAAAATTGAAATTTTGAAAGTACGTTACTCAAAATATGAATCAAGTTAAAGTACGTTAGTTTTTCATACAATTTATCATTTCATGTAATATGATAGAATAACTTAGGGAGTTAGAAATACTTGAGCATATTTTGGAAAAGAAATATAAGCTTATTGACCTATTTGCCCTTTTTTAACAAGTTTTTATATTTTTACTTATTTAAACTGAAGAATGAGTTTCAGATATAAATCATATTATTCATAAAGTTCATACAAACTATCTATATATTTATAGAAATGATGAGAATTCATTTATTATGATTTAAAATTTTATAAAAGATGATCATTAGAGTTCATTAATTATGATCAACATTTTATATTAAAAAACAATTGGTTTATATATGAAACCAGCTATTCATTATACTAGAATAGAGACCGATTTGTATGGTTTGTATTTGAATTTTTTAATACAAATTTACTCTAAATAATTTAAAATAAAAATGCAATTATTGAAAGCACAAAAATGTAAAATATGTAATAAAGAGATTCATAAAGATAATCCACCATTTTTAAATTGTTCTTGAAAGAATTTGCTTTTAGTTTAAGAAAATACAAGCTTAGTGCCTTCCAAGTGTGATCAAATATGTTTAAATATATTTCTGTATTTTCATTTAATATTTACTTCTTATATATATATATATATATATATATATATAATTGTGTATAAAAAACTATTTTTACATTTTATATATATATATATATATATATAATTGTGTATAAAAAACTATTTTTACATTTTGTAGGAAAAACACAAAAGAATAGACAAAAAAGCTTAAATAGTTCTTGGTTTAACGGAATTAATGAAGACGTTAATCAGAGATATAATGATCAAAACAAATTGAATACCACAAGAATCAAATCAACAATAAACATATTATAAGAACCCTAGTAAAAAATATCAAAACACAGCGACCAAATCCACAATTCACTCTTAAAAAACTGATTATATATTTGCTTTTAAAATTTTATATATCAATATAAACAAAATAAAAAACGTGTTGACAGAATATACCAATTACTATCAGGGACGGACTTATGTATGTTTGAGCGAACTTCCATGCACCCGCTCAACTTATTTCTATTAATAAATTTCATTTACATATAAAAGGTGAACCAATTAATCTTTGAGGAATGCACCTGTATACTAGAAAATATTTAAACATTAACCAAAAAACCGAAAATGTCATTAGAAATCATCCAAAAAAACTTTAAAAATTCCTCGATACGATAAATTTGAGTTAAAAACACTTCAAGTGACTTTACGGGCATGATCTACCACACAAATACACCATCTCGATAAAAACCCCCCTAATCCATTAGTGTCATCATTATTAAATATGAATTTAACCACAAGGGTTGTGCCTGATTGGTTTGAACTTGGCTTCAAAGGTCAAAAGTATCATGAGGTCCCAAGTTCAAATCTAAGGAGGAATAAAAATCCTCTTGTGGTTACGGAGTTTCAAATGCGGTGACTCCGGACTATCTACAAAGCAGGTGGAACTGTAATTAGTCGGCTCGTATAACGGGTTAGATATCCAGGTTAATAAAAAAATATGAATTTATTGTGAATTTTTTATATTTAATTTGAGAAAAATCGAAAATTATATTGTAATTATATTTGGTAATCATATACCCCTTTAAATAGCCATCCACATGTAATGCATGGTGGATGCTTGCCTTCTGCCTTCTTCATGCATCACCACCACCACCTCCCACCGTTATAATACCACTTCAGCCTCCAAGAGAACTTTCCGGCAGTGGCCGCCGTCGGTCTTCAAACATGTCGAAGAAAGCTTTGCAGATTGTGTTTGTTGTCATTCTGGCGGTGGTTGCACCTCCGATGATGGAAGGAATAAATGTGAAGCTTGATAACACGGCCACCGATACCACCATGGTCCCCGGTGGACCGTCGGAGAACCAACTAAAATGCGGTGGTTGTCCCTGTAACAATCCTTGCTACACTACAAGTCCTCCTCCACCACCACCATCGCCACCACCACCACCCAAGATGCCGTCTCCAACACCGGGCCTGAACTGCCCTCCGCCACCAACAACCGGAGGTGGATATGGGCTGGCGCCTCCATCGTACATTTACATTACTGGTCCACCAGGAAATGTGTATCCCGTCAATCCATATTTCTCCGCCGGCCACCGCAACTTCTGGGTTGCGCCGCCGCTGCAAGTGATCGTATTTGGATTAGTGAGTGTGCTTAGTTTTTAACTAATTTCGATAGAATCCATTAAGGATTTTGATAAAAAGATGGAAGATTATTCTGGTAGCAATGCAATTAAGCTCTAAATAACAAGCTTTTTTATTCGTCTTAATTGTGGCCATTAATGGAGTTCGGTATATTATCAAATTTTCTAATCGACGATCAACTTGATCTTCTTGTTCGTAATTATTGTAAAAATTAGTGAAACATCCAAAAAGAAATAAAAATTCTATTGTGGCCACGAAGGTTCAAATGCGATACTCTGAGTTATCTGTAAAGCAAGTGATCGTTATGAAATTAATCATCTCGTATAACGGGTTGGATATCAGGTTAATAAATTTTTTTTATACTGAAATTGAAAAATTTATAATACCGTTTGTAAGTTTGTTGGTTAAATAAAGAGTAAACTGTCATTCTCGTCCCTAAGGTTTGATAAAGATTGCAAATTTTATTTATGTGGTTTTGAAATAACGATTCTCATTCTTATGATTTGTAATCTATTGTTGTTTTCATCCCTGAGATTAAACATGTCAAAAGTCCTCCATTAACTTAGGGGTATTTTAGTATTTTTGTTTTTTTTTGGGTATTTTACTCTTTTTAATTAAAAAAAAATTAGAGTAAATCACAGACATGGTCATTGTGGTTATACCAAAATTATGGTTGGAGAATTATGTTTTTCGTGGCTGTTTTTTTTAAGATGATTGCATCCAAATATGTTGTTAGTTTTAGATTTCGGTTTTCTTGGCTGGTTTTTGAAGAGGATTGCATCCAAATTTGTTTTTCGGTTTAGGTTTACATACATCAAACAGATGGTGGCGGCCGAAGTAGGGATATGAGACCAGATTTAGTGGTTGCTGGAGATTAAGAAGGATGCCAGAGGAGATGGTAACCGGAATTGGAGAAGGAAGCCGAAGATGCTTGAATTCGGTAGATATGGGATAAAATATCAAGTATGGAAGGACCCGTGGCAATCTTTAATAAACTAAAAGTAAAAAAAAAACTAAAATACCCTTAAGTTAAATGAAGAATTTTTAATATATTTAATTTAAGGGACTAAAAAAACAATAAATTACAAATCATAGGGATGAAAATTGAAATTTTAAAACCACAAAAAAGAAAATCACAAATTATAAAAACGAAAATCACAATTTCAAAACCATAAGGATGAAAATCGCAATCTTTCATAAATTATAAGAATGAAAATCATAGTTTACTCTTAAATAAATTATATATTTGTCGATTCAAGAAACCTTAAGTATGTTGCCCCATGCTCATTAATGTCAATCAACGGCTTATATTAATTGAATGTTTTCAAATAAAATATTTAGGAGTGAACCCGAGCCATAACTATCTTTCATAAGTGAACAAGGGTATAATAGTAAAATGATCTACAGAGTCAAATTAGGTAAAGAAATTAATATCCTAATAGTTTGTTAAAATCCAGTCCATTTAGATTAACAAAACTACCACTAAATTCTTGTTTAACAAAAGAAAGGGCCCCCACGCATACATGTGCGTGCGCGCGCGCGCACACACACACACACAGACACACACATATATATATATATATATATATATATTATTGGGGGCTCATTCAAGGAAGAACTAACTAGTTTGTAGTAACCGTGAAATTCAATCTCAACCACAAATCAATAGATAAATTAGAAAATTTATAATTTTGATAATTTTGAATTAAAATTTTAATGCAAGAACATTTTAGGTATTTTCTCTCATCTCTTCTCTATCCTCTCCTCGTCCCCCATCCTCCGGCTTCCGGCCACCGTCATCCGACCACCGTCCTTCTGCCATACCACTGTGATACCTAAAAATATTGACTCTGTTAAACAAAAAACACAGTGTGATACCCAAATACATATAAGATGCATTGTGATACTACTGTGTTACATCTCCGGTCGACCACACAAACGACTTCAGTGTGACTCCCAAGCACATATAAGATGCATTGTGATACCACTATGTTACATCTCCGGTCGACCACACAAACGATTTTAGTGTGATTCTCAAGCACATATAAGATGCATTGTGATACCACTGTGGTATCACCGAAGGACGGGGGACGGAGAGAGAAGAGATGAGAGAAAATACTTAAAATGTCATTGCATTAAAATTTTAATTCAAAATTATCAAAATTATAAAATTCCTAATTTATATACTGATTTGTGGTTCAAATTAGACTTCACAATTATCGTAAACTAATTAGTTCTCATTTGATTAGACTATTATATTATTGTATCATTATTTAATAAATAAATATAAAAACAGATAACAATATTGATTATATAAGTAACTCGGAGTTGATATTCTAAGGAAATGAAAATATATATATTTGTAGGGATTTGAGGCTACTTGGATCCATCAATTCATTAACAAGATCCAAGGCAAATAATATGTTAAGAAATAATTTGGAGATTTGTTTCATTTTAATATTTATTTTATAATAAATACAAGTCTGTATATTTAAAATTATGATGAAAGTTATTAATAGCTTACAATTTGAGACTTATAAAAAGCTCATAAATCTTACTTTCCATCAGTGTAACATATATTGTTACGTATTCTAATTATGTGTTCAAAGTAAACAGAAATTATGAATGTAACTTTTTTACCCATTTTAGTTAATTATTGCTTGCTTTTTTTACTGTTTTTATATATTTATTATTTGTCTTTTTTTATAAGTATATAATATTTATATATGGTAAATGCAACAAATAAACTCACACACACTACTCATTTTTAGTGAGGTTTGAACTCCTGACCTCCTAGGAAACCATGGACTACGATACGACTAGGCCAAAGACTTTTTGATTATTATTTGTTTCTTTTTTAATAATGAAATTATGAGTGTAATCAACATTACCGATCTTCACTGTATTAGACATATATTTAACCTTCTTTAAGCATCTTAAACAATGGCAAATGTTTCTTTAGTTGAGTTTCAAAATTGGGCCACGAGAGAAAATTGAACACTTAATTCTAGTGATGGCCAAATCGGCTTGTGACCGGCAACAGACTGGCCCGATCCGGGATCGGCATGAATCGGTTATGGGAGCAAAAACCGAGACCGGTTGGAGTTTTTGGTAGTTTCGTGGGACCAGGATCGACTAGGACCGTGACCGGATATGGGACCGGCCCGAAAATTTAAATAATTTTATAAATAAATATATTTTTATAAGACTATGTAATTTTAATTATATTAAAATGCATTTTTAAAGCGTATTTAAATGACCCAATTGCAAATTTTATAATGTATTAAAAAATACATATCATTAAAAATTTTAAAAAAAATTTACTTTTTAATGCCGGGACCGGCGGCCCATAACCGGTTATGAAGTACCTTGATCGGTCCTACCATTTTCGACCGGGACCAGTAATAATGACCGGTTATGAGAAAACTTGGGACCGATTTAGGCCCGGCCCGGCCCGGTCAGCCCGGGACCGGTTTTTGGCCATCACTATTCAATACTAAACGAATAAAACAATGATAACCATTCTTGGGTCAAAAGCCCAACTCCTTTTAGAAGTGTTGACGTCCCAACAACCTTTGGGCCACCTTTCAATTCAGTTACAATGCAAATTTTCTTTTTTCTTCCAGGCCCATATGCTATAACCCATCCATTTTCAAGTTTACCAAATACATACCAACTTACCAAGTAAGTGCTTATTGGAAAAAGTCACAATTCTTACTTTTCCTATAGAATATCATTTTCGGTCATCAAAATGGATTGTTGGTAAGTGGTAACCTCATAACAGTCTTCTCCCTCTCTTATCGAATAAGGTTTTCGATTATCGTTATCTCTTTTACCATGTAAGATTCTTGATCCTTGCTATACTCACCCAGTAAACGTTTGGCAAACGATTCTTAAAAATTAGGTTATTTCTACATCGTTTTTGTTTATTATTTCATTATACTGCAGGAAATGTTTGAGCTTCATTTTCATCATAAAGATCGACACTCTGTATTCATGACACAATTCACTTTTACCTTCTCTGTAACATCGTCAAGAAAGCAACAAGAAAATACGTATACACATCTCCAAGTATAATCAAACCAATCGAGCCAAGCATATATCTCATCGCCAAGAGAGATGGATGTAAACTTGGTCTCCGCCAAAAAAATAAAAATAAAAAACCCTTTACATCTTCAAGTATATGCTTTCAAAATGGTACATCTACCCAAATAGTTCATGACCTCAACATAAAGTTCATAAAACTCTTATAAACTACCTGATAATCAATGAATACAGAATCTTTAAATTCGAGAAATAATTCCTTTTTAACAGATAAATCCATATGTTTTAAAAGGCGTGTTTGGGTCACCTCCCAACGTACGATGGTTCAAGGCTTGTCTATGACACCACTTTAACACCTGACACACCGTGACCCAATCAATACGTGGTTTTTGTACCGCGCTAACTGATATTTTTGCATCTTTCTGTTAAAGCGATTTGTTGTTTATGGGCTGAATGGATTTTTTTGCATTTGGAAAGAGGCCCATTGTATTCATAGAATTAAAATATCTAAGAGGGCATGCATATTATACCCTAAGGTCCCGTTTCAGTTGTGAAGTTTGATAGGATTTGAAATCATTTTGAATAGAATTCTCTTTCAATGCTATGTCTAGTTTGAAGGAATGCTTGTAGGGTCATCCCGATAAACAAGTAATAAAACCAAAAAAAAAAAAAAAAACAAAGTGAGAAGAATATCGAAGAGTCATTTTTTTAATCAACAAATGATGGAATTAAATAGCGGATTTTGATTTTGAATTAAATTCGATAGGTCTTCATTGAGGTGTATTTACATGTCTATATAAATCAGGCTGCGAACACAAATAAAATCTGTCCAAAACCCCATATTTAACATTCTAATTCGACCTTGAATGCTTAGATTTGAAATCGCGAGAATTCCTTGAAATCCAACGTGGATTTAGAAATCCAGTTGGGGTAGTTGGTATTTAGCCAAATTTCAAAAGATTTTTTGTAATATTATTTGAAATATATTAAAAACTTTTGTTTTGTAATAATCAATTAACGAAAAGCTAATTTAATTATTTTATAGTTTTTAACAAATTATTTATTAAAAAACGACATTCATTTTCATTATAAATAC